TTCATGTTGAAAACAAATTGACTCTTTGCTTCGGAGGTGCCGCTCCCTTCGAAGATTCCACAGATCCCTTCACTCCAGACGTTTGTTTTCATGGGTAAATCCCCTAAGAGTACAAGGCGAGTTAGATATTCAAGCTTTTAAAGAAGCAGTTCCAACCCGGTAAGTAAACTTACTCTTAACTTTCTTTGAGGCTCCTTCGCTTTGTGGCTGAATAGAATCAGAATCAGCCTTCCTTTTCTCTGAAACCTTTTTCTTGGGTGCTGGCTAGATTATTTTTTCTCACTCAGCTTTGGCAAAGGAAAAACAAAAAAAAATGTCAGCGAAAAAGGCCTTGGCTACGTAGCCGGACCACCAGTAGTTGAATTCTTCACTTGTGAATGAAGAAGCCTCAAAAGCAACTTATATAAAAGAATCAAAAAGTTGTTTGTGCAAAGAACCAACCAGATTTACCTAGTGGATAAATCAAGAATACAGAAAGAAAAAGAGCAATGTTCACTCTTTCGATTACATTCTAAGGTCGCCAATTGAGCAGATCAAGCAAGTTAGAATTGACATAAGATGAAACCTATTAGTCCGAAAGCGCCATGGGGAGAAAGAAAAGTCCACAGACCACCTAATTGACACCAAGGGGTCAAATCTCCTTTGACTTCAGGACCCCCTAGTAGCAACAAAGAATGTGCTAAACGGAGTTAAAACGGTTAATAAATTGCATCCTTCAAAATAGGAACTGGCAAATCCATGAGTATACCATGAAGTTACAAAGGTTGTACACAAGCTATAAAGCTTGTTTCAATGATCCCCCTTCATATTCTTTGGAAACTCATTCTCCTACCCTGGCAACTCACTCTTTGCCAGTGAAGTCCTCCCGCATCTTGACCCACTCGCTCGCTATCTACCTTCCCCACTGCCCTTGTCTTAGATTGCTATCTCTTGGCAACAAAAAGCCAAGTTTCTTATCAATTTTATGCCTGGCAGGCTGCTACCGCACAACGTTCCGCCTACCCCACTCACCGCTCAGAGTCGGACGAGAATCACGGTTAGCAGTAGAGCCTTTATATATATTTAAAAAGTTGGATCTGCCAATAAATAAATTGAATAACAGCCTGGGGATATGATCACTGCTAGCAATCCAGTTAGTTAGGTCTCGTATGCCAACTATAGAGTAGGCCTATAGTTGAGTTCAATTCGTTCTTTCTGACCTGACACAGCTGCAACTCATCATAGCCTTGATCTTGTTATGATCTTTTTATAAATAAAGAGAAGATCAGGAGGCCTAGCGTGTGAGATGACTGTCTTATCGTCTCGCTTTGAACATTCTCCTATCCCTGATTCCTAACTTTAGCTCTTCCCTTGTTATCTCCTGTTGTTAACAGGTCTTTACTCTTCTAGTCGCCTTACCCCGGAACGGAAGACAAGCGCTTGATTGTTTGATACACGAAGTTGGAATATCCTTATCTAGTAGTGGGTCTATGGAGCATGCCCTTGCCTTTCTTTCTTTCCTTCTCCCCAGTACGAAGAGTGAGTCAATGCCGATCGGATTCCTTGGTTCCAACTCCCTTAATAACATATCATATTTTTACTTCTTTATTCAACTCTTTTATGAATCACGTCAGGGAGATATAGAGCCTATGCCCATATGAACTAGGGCTTTGAGAGGGGAGAACGGTAGCCAATAACCGAGTAAGGAGGTTTTCCTGTATGGGGCTCTAACTCGATCAATGTATTGGAGAGCCCAATTGCTTATCAACGAAGGGCATGCTTCCGTATTAATCTCTGACGAATAAGTAGCTGTAAGTAATATTATTATTCTTATACGGTTACAAGGAGTTAAGAGTTGGCTGTAAGCGTAAATCTGAATTTCTTACTTTTACCTTTTACGGTAATAACAAGATGAAAGATTGACCTCTTAAGTTCCTTTTTAAACTTACCTTTTTCTACCTGATATAATGGATCCCCTTAAAGACTTAGCAATCACCGCTGAGTCAACTTGAGACTACGTTCTGTCATACTATGCTAAGACTAGTTCCAAGCTAAAAGTAAAAGGCTAAGCCCAGAACTACAGGAGTTTTCCCCGGAATCGGAACCGGAACTCTCAGCGCTTCACAGATCGTGCTTCCCCGTCCCTTCTTGGAACCCTGAGGACCTATTTACATTACAGACTCGATCATTGACCAAGAAGCATGGGTCGAGGGCGATAGCTGGCGAGGAGAAGTGAACGAGCTCCCGCTTGAGCTTACAGGGAGGAATCCCTCAAGGTTCCGCATTAGATCCCCTACGAACTTCTGGATGTGAACAAATGGCATGTCCTTCCACATAAGGATGTTCAAGGCTTGTACGCCCGTTGGTAGGTGCTCGATCTAACAATAAAGGACGGCTACCCGCCGTCAAAGACCCCCTTATCAGAGACAAGCGCTAACAAGACCAGACCAGCGGATCGGGGAAGGAAGGATACGAGAGAAAAGACTATCCGAGGGTTTATAGTAATCTCATACCTTTCGGTAGTCTCTCATACACAATTACACTGTCCTCCGCTTCGGTCCGACATAAAGTCAAGCTAGGTTGGTACGGGTGAACAAGCCTAAGTTATCTGGTTCCTTGGGTTAGTAATGCTCTAAGTGCGGTTAGTACAAGAAGGTACTGCGGCTTACTACCATGAGGAAAAATCTCCAAGAAAAGTATCTGATTCTGGGTCTGGTTCTGTACCTTACCCTTACTACCCTAAACTTCGAATAGATTGTTGCAACTCAAAATTATTTATATAGGGGAAACTCCAACTATTGAATACGAAAGCCCTGTTATCGAATACTAAAGCGTTCCCCTTTGATTCAACTTATCTGTGTTCGCCCTTGGATGAGACTTTCGAAAGCATAGATCCACGAGAAAGAAGTTCCAGAAGGTAACCCCCAGCGTTAAAGTATCGAAATGCGTGTGCGGGCATTGTTTGCTGCTACCTTGGAACTCCTATTGAGTCAAGCAGTCAATATTATGACTGGCAAAGCAACTAAAGCACCGGAGCTCTTCTAACCAAAACCTATTATAAAGGAATACAAGGTCAGTCGATACGAGACTTTTGATGCGATAGAATCCCTAAAATATTTTAATTCTTTGGGTAGTTTAGGAATAGGGTACGAATCAGCTGGGGGCCTCTTTCCTTACCTTAGGGAAAAAAAAAAGCTTAGTAAGAGGAAGAAGGGGTCTTCTCGAAGCAGGAAGGCAGTGAAGTAAGCGGATATTGAGTACTCGAGGGACAGGCCCTGAAGCGAAGGACGGGAACGAGCGGGATCTCAGATAGGAAGACCAGGAAAGAGAGAGTCAACGCCGGAATCGGAATGAGAGGATTAGCCTAGGCTCTTCAAGACCTTACTCGGCTCGAGGAAGAGGAATAGATAGGTACACGAGGTGAGCGGAAATCTATTATTCTAAATTTTCCCAAAAGATCTTTCTTTCTTCAACGGAATCTACCAATGGAACAATCTTTGAAGAAGAAAGGTTGGGACAAAGAAGGTAAACTCATTAGGTAAGCCTCGGGGGTTGAGTCGAAAGGCTTTTAGCGCTGTGTTGCGGCACATGGGCCCTTCCGCTCATAAGTAGCCTCCCAGCAACAAAAGGAGAAAGGGATAAAGCCGGGGCGGGATACCTCGCTTCAATTGAATAGCTTTCCTTTGCTTCAAATAACGAGGAGATTGAGACCGAGCTAGTCCTAGTGCTTTCGAGATGGTTCGATCGCTAACAAAGACAAGCATGGGAAAGAGCAGACTCCCAACAAGCAACTCCAAGAGCTCAAGCCTAAAGCCTTAGTAAGGCGCATCCTCATTGCTCGCGTAAAGCAAGCGTATAAGGTTTATTGATGGACATTCCTATACGTCTTTTAGATTTGCTTGTGTCGAACCTAGGAAACCTCTACTATTTTGTATTAGGACGCAGGCCATCTTATCCCACTTTTTGTGAATTGGTTTCAAAAGAATTTCCTAATTAATTTAGATAGTTTGATTGAGACGGATCAGCTCCACGAATAGTAGACAGGGGAAGGAGCAAGAATTAGATAAGAGAAGAAGGCTAGCTATATGCTGAACACAGGCCTGTTTTCGCTTCCCCTTTCATCCTTGAACTTCAGGTAACAGCATAAAGAAAGAATCTCTTCGTTTTAGACTACAGGGTTCGTAAGAGCAACTTCCCTTGCCTCAATCCCTATTTATTAGTTAGTCGGGGACTGGTCCTTCCCTCGATATTACGCTCTTTTTTGATTTAACGAGTGAATTTATCCGCCTACTAGCTGTACAGGTCAAGGAAAGTCTACTTACGAGATTGACCGACTTGCTTCCAAGCCGAGTTCCTTCCTTCGGTAGAGGAGAAAGGGCTGCTAGAAGAAGAGTTCACCACTATCTACGCAATTCTCTAGCTTCATTATTTTGAGAATATTCCATTTAAGAGTGATGCTCGCACCACTACACTCACTCATACCATCGTAAGCCAAAGAGAAGAGGTTCAATCCATAGGCGAGGTGGAGACTTCGGTATAGGGTCGCCTGTTCGGAATCGGCGCGCTACTGCTCTTTGGCTCCTTTACTTTAGTTCATCATTTCTTTGCAACTCTCTTGATCAATCTCCTCTCGTTATCGGTCGACCTTCAAGACTTGCTTACGATAGGAGGGACTCGAAAGGCTAATCCGTGAAAGACGAAAAAAGAATTCCATTCCCAATAGATCAAGCCGAGGTAGTAGACCAAATCGTCTATCAACGTCCTCCACTTACTCCACTAGGTTGGCGAGAGCCTTGTTACTATAGTTCGCGCTACTGAGATCATCGTTGATTGGGAGAGAGAAAGCTTTTGCGCTTGGGATCCTGAGCCAGCAACATTCTTGTTTTAAAAGACGTATAGGCAAGCCTTTCTTTATTATGATCATATGGATCGCTTTTCGTGACTTTTCTTTCCATAGGCATACATAGCAGTCTAACCAGCTTTATAATTTTAGGGGACCGAGAATCAATCAGTCTTTTGATCCCCCTCGAGCCTACTCTCGTCTTTCGAATTAAGCTTCCGATTTTGTTGGTGCAGACGCTGAAGGATCAGCTGACACTAGATAGGAAAGGGTTTCGATCTAAGCTCTCGAACCTGTTCCGAAGTCAGTTTAGGATTCGGTTGGTGTTCCGACATCCCGAATCGAGGTGGCTCTAAACTCAGGTTTGCCTACCTCTCTAGTTACAGAGAGAAGAGAGGGGCTTCGAAGCCTTGCCTTAATTCAAGCTAGAAATAGCGATAGAAAACTAGCCATATCGATCTAGTGGTGACAACGAAAAGGCGTTTTTTTAAGCCTGAGGGGCAGTGAGCGGGGTAGGATAAAGTGAAAAAGAATGGTATTTGAACCGGTGTGGGCATAGTCAGGCACATTAGCTGTTCAAAGAGGTAAGAACCCTAGTCTGTGAGATTCTCCTTTAAAAGGTTCTAGTGAAATGGGTGTAGCGGGAGGACTCCAGGGACAAGATAGGGCTTCTAAATAAAATTTCCTCTCTAAAGTGCTTGCTGGTTCCAGACTCCCTATCTTGGCTGGAGAAGCCAGAGGAGTTGGACTGCTTTCCACTGAGAGTATCCAACAAGGAGTGAAGAGAGGAAAAGTGATCTCTAGCATATTATTATTTAACTGAATCCATCTTTATTTTGATATAAATTGAACAGAGGCTTAGTTGTGTGATTCATATCCAGTGGATCAAGGGTAGGTTCTTAAAAGGCCTTCGAAAGGAAACTCCTGCAAATCCTGGAAGGATAAAAGTGTACCCTTGAGTTAAAGCGCGCCCCATTGGTCGTCCCCAATTGCTACTGCTTCTGATTCAACTTGCTAACAGCGCTAGTCACCTCTTGACTTAGTAAACTACCCCATTCGTTGTGTCAAGCCTTCCCTTCCTCTACTGCTGGTCGACTAGACTAAGTCAACTTGCTCGTGGAAAGGCAGGAGCCTGGAAGCCAGGAAGAACGAGCCCTTAAATTATTCTATCTGACTTCTTCTACCAAATGAGCATAGAAAGAAGGGTACGCTCCTTTAGCCATAAATCCATACGAGACTTAGGTGATCCCATCTCTCTTATAGAGAGGGCGAGAAAGAGCTCCATTGAGCGCCAACTCCATCACACTAGAATCTACTTCCAACCTTTAACACTTGGTCGAGCAAGTCCCAGAACTAGGCCCTTAACAGAACGGACTAGCCTTAGAGAAAAGCGAGCAAGATCCTCTTCTTCTATTAGCACAGCGCGCCTACAGCCTTCATTCTAATACGGAA